CAGCGACCTTAACGCTTTCTTCCTTGGGCAACAACTTGCCTCAGCAGATCTCTTTCTAAATTCCAAGACAGGCTGCCTGCTTGCTCTGCACAAAAAAGTTAAATTTGAAATTCAACCATATCCATCCAGAAATAAGTTTGTACTTTATAATATCAACTGAATACAAGTGAACTTGAGATATCTAAAACTTAAAGACATCATTAATGAATTCAATACTTCACTTTTGCAAGTCACCATTTTAGAAAGTTCAAGTATTCAGGATCAAAATCGTCTTGAATGCTGACCCATCTTAGCAGGGATATATCCACGTATGGCAAAATCATTGAATGCAAACATGAAGAGACAGTAAGTATGTCTACAAAAATTCATGCTAATATTAACTTCTTTGACTATTTCAAGCGCTGTTGATCTTCTTCTTGGAAATAAATCTTTAAAAGCAAAAAAAATTTTTAATTCAGGTAAATAACAAACACTAAAAAGTTATTCATTGTTCATCTGAAATTCAAATTTAACTGTTGTCCTCTGTTTTATCTGGCAACTTCACATCCACATCCACATCAGTATCAAGTCAGAAAATCCATGCAGTCTTTGACTTGGACATCCTGACATACAAATTTCAGGCAAAAACAACATGCATAAAAGTCTCTTCCCCGATGGAACAGACTGTGACAAACTCCTTATTGTAACAAGTAAAACACGTGTTTCCAGGCTACAGCTTAGGAGCAGGAGAAGCCGCTACCACAACACCCAAAATCCCTCTGAAGGGCCTGCTGTCCAACTTCCCAGCTCTTTAACGATAAAAAGTGCATTTCTTACCTTCTTCCCAATTGCCTTCAAGAAGAAAAACTAACAGCATGTGTTCCCCTTTGAGCCAACTACTAACATACAAGGAACATTCATCTAATTCCCAAGGAAAATTCCCCTTCATCTGTAGAGGTTTTACTCTTCCTAAACTATAAAAATATCTTTTCCAATTTTACACTTACCCCATGTAACCTTTACTTCACATAAAATGGTAATGTTTCACAAAACATTTGATACAAATTGTTGGGGGACAAAGGAAAACACCAGACATCACATAAGCTGACTGTTTTTCTGAGTCAGGACAATGTCCGTAACACTGTACTTTCATTATTAACGTTTACACCTGTTTTCCCCCTCACAATCCTGGGAAATTCTACCAGCGGAACAAGAATCATAAAGAAATACTGAGGTTAGAGATTCCATACACACACCCCAAGCACAAAACTGGCAATTGTGGTGGGAGAGGTGTTCCCAGGAATGAAAGTAATGAGAAGGATGAATCTTCATCTTCACACAAGAAGAACACAAAATGTGTGAACGGTGGGGCTTAATGTTCTTCCACTGCATGGCTAGAACAGTTCATCCTCATCATCAAGGTTTTAAAGGTGAATATTAGACAAATCACCAGGATGGTCCAATTGTTAAGACTGTCATCCCCACTTTAAGTTGTTTCAGAGCCCTTGCTATGTTGCAGTTCATGGCCAGTTAACTTAGATGGGATAAAGTGCTAATAAGGTCGAGTCTAATCCTGGATAAGCCAACTCAGTCCTGAGGCTAAAGTCTACACCCCCAGTTTAGGACAGTAATCTCAAAATTTGGGTCACTAGTTAGAAGTGGAGTCATGTTTGGCCACTCAAGGGTCTACTGGGGAAAAGATCTGGTGACCACATATGCCGCACAGCGGCTCTGAAAGCCAGCTCTTCACAGGGTGCTCTATTGTTTTACCTCAAAACAAACCAAATGCCAGTTGGGCATGTTCCATTTTCTACTAAGTGTTGAATCCGTACTTTCAACTTTGCCTCACTTTGAAAGTGTATTCCACATGCAAAGGCTAGCTTTTTTTTTTTCATAGCAGCACCATTTAATTTTTTTAAACATTTTCTTATTGAGTTATAGTCATTTTACAATGTCGTGTCAAATTCCAGAGTAGAGCACAATTTTTCAGTTATACATGAATATACATACATTCATTGTCACATTTTTTTTCGCTGTGAGCTAGCACAAGACCTTGTATATATTTCCCTGTGCTATACAGTATAATCTTGTTTATCTATTCTGCATATGCCTGTCAGTATCTACAAATTTTGAACTCCCAGTCTGTCCCTTCCCACCCTCTTCCCCCTTGGCAACCACAAGTTTGTATTCTA